TAATCTTTAGTTTCTGGTCCGGCCTTACCTTCGTTTACGACGCGGGCGGGCGGGTGGTTAGGACTATAGGACATAATTACAATTGTGGCTTTGCCCACATTTTTGTGGTCTTTCTTGTCCCTTTTCATGCTAATTGTATTAAAATGTTACGAAATTTTACATAAATTGCATTTATATTATTTATAAATCGACATGTATGACAGATTACAAAGGATTTTACATATCAAAATGATGTATTAATATTTCTAGTTTTCTTTCCCTCGTAATCTCGATAAGGCAGCGGTTTTTACCATTCAATACTATATTTTGCCAGGTCTTTTTAGTGTAAATTAAATATTTATCGTTCTATAAGTTAAATCCTTCGCGAAAATTTTCAAGCACTAGAAATTAATTGTAAATAACAAAATAGTCCTGAAATAATACTTTACGGAGAGAGGACGCGGGCGGCGGACCAGAAACTAAAGATTAAAGCCCGTTCTCCACTACGCGAATTTGTTCGCGCGACGCGAAGCGAAAACCGAAATCCGGCAACGTGATTGGTCGGCGAAAAAATTCGCGGCGAAAAAGTAGGATCGCTTCCATATTTTGTAAATCCAAATCATTGTCGCATTCAATCTCGTTCCCCGAGCCTGCGATCCTCGGGAAGGAACGCGAGGCTCTGGGATAATCCGTTGCCTGAAGCCAAGAATCCTGGCTAAGATTGAACTACGCATTCCATATCAATGGCCAATCAGATTCCTCCCTGAAACGGATTATCCCAGAGCCTCGCGTTCCTTCCCGAGGATCGCGGGCTCGGGGAACGAGATTGTGTCGCATTCATATAGCTCGGTAAAGAGGTCTGGGAACAAATCACGAGAATAGGAAGCTGCCTGCGGCAGCAATAACAAAATAATTCAAAAAATATTAACAATATATGTAAAAAATATATCTGACATGACTTTTTTTTCTGTGTTGGTGTAGTGTACTCAGGTGAATATGATATTTGTGGTGTTACTCTGAGTGTATATCCACACCGGGCGAGCTTGAAAAATATGCCCGGCCACGGTGGGATTCGAACCTACGACCTTTGGAATACTAGCCCAATGCTCTTCCGGCTGAGCTACACGGTCAGGACGGTTCGAAAAAAATTCATATTACTAGAATACATTGGTATCGAAGGAACTAGATTCTGTTCCGAAATATCACTTACTCGAACCGTCCTGACCGCGTAGCTCAGTTGGAAGAGCATTGGGCTAGTATTCCAAAGGTCGTAGGTTCGAATCCCACCGTGGCCGGGCATATTTTTCAAGCTCGCCCGGTGTGGATATACACTCAGAGTAACACCACAAATATCATATTCACCTGAGTACACTACACCAACACAGAAAAGATTCATATTACTGGAATACATTGGTATCGAAGGAACTAGATTCTGTTCTGAAATATCACTTACTCGAACCGTCCTGACCGCGTAGCTCAGTTGGAAGAGCATTGGGCTAGTATTCCAAAGGTCGTAGGTTCGAATCCCACCGTGGCCGGGCATATTTTTCAAGCTCGCCCGGTGTGGATATACACTCAGAGTAACACCACAAATATCATATATCACCTGAGTACACTACACCAACACAGAAAAGATTCATATTACTGGAATACATTGGTATCGAAGGAACTAGATTCTGTTCTGAAAGTTACTTATATGCTTTCCGTGTCCATCCAAACACGGAAACCATAAAGTAATTGTACAATGAGGCCATAATTAAGTCCGCTTTCGTCTTTAGACGGGAGGTCAACTATTTGCTTCCTTCTAATATCATATGAAATGTTCATGGCATTCACATATGCCAAATTCTATTATAAATTCTATGATTACATGGAGAGTTTTCAGCCCGGACTGAGTTTCAGCCCCGTTAAACGAGTCATAGGCGTACGGGGCGGGGGGGGGGGGAACTGCCTCCCCAAAACCCTGATTCAAGCCATTCGGGCAAGGGATTCACTCAGATTCGGGCAAAAAAAATTATGTAACCTGATAGTTGGGGCTTCGGTGGCGAAGTGGTTAGCGCACTTTTAATTGCCTTTCACCTCTAAAGGCCTAATTCCACGACGAGCGAAATGCGAAAAATTTCGCGCGAAAAGGTTGGACGCATGCGCAACATGATTTTGGAATGTTTCTCAGCGAAATATTTCTCTTCGCCGGGTAGTTGAATTCGTTTCTACTCCCTTGCGAAATGGAAATAGCGAAACCAATCAAATGCTTGTGTTATGGATGACAAAATAGCGAAACCAATCAAATGCTTGTGTTTTGGCGAATTTTTTCTCTACTGTGGAAATCACTACGAGAGAAAATTTTCGCACAAGTGTGTTTTCGCACGAAATATTTCGCATTTCGCTCGTCGTGGAATTTAGCCTTAAGGCCGCAGGTTCGAATCTCAGTGAAAACTTCTCAATGTGACTCGAACCCAGGCCTCATGTGAAAAGAGTAAAAAGTCGACGCTCTGCCGAAAGTCGTGGGTTTTCTCCGGGTACTCCGTGTTTCCTCCCACAGGGAAAGTTGAGATGGGTGGGTTAGGCACATAGGTTTCCAGAGGACCACGGAGTCATCAGTATTCGTACTGTCAAGTGTCATCCTCTATAAATAAAGTCACTCTCTCTCTCTCTCTCTCTCTCTCTCTCTCTCTCTCTCTCTCTCTCTCTCTCTCTTTATATATATATATATATATATATATATATATATATATATATATATATATATATATATATATATATATATATATATATATATATCTCTCTCTCTCTCTCTATATATATATA